ACATCGGACTTATGGATAGAGATGTGAAGGCCCGGAAAAAAACCGGAAAAATTCGGGGGGAAAACGGGTTTTTTCCGTTTTTTTTCCTGAAGCCTTTTTGTTTTTTTCCGAAAAATTGATAAAAGAAAAAAAAAATGATTATGGAACGTTTTATTTTAACAAGATGAATAAAATATTTTAAGACAAGGTGTTCAAATATTTCCCAAATCATTTCTAAAAAATATGTATGGTGTCAGATTGATCTAATTTCTGTGCACGGAGGACAAGCAAGTCCTAGGTTACCAACTGAACTCTCCAATGCAAGAACAAGATGCATTTCTTCCTTTAGGAGGTGCTATTGTCACAAGAAAAGAAAAAGGTTTCAGTTTTGTTTTTGCATGTGGGTGGGTATTCTGTTTGAAATAATTGTTTGGATACACTATATTTTTAATAGGCTAGTTGTGATAATTTCATGCCAAGTAAAAATGTCCATAGTCATATTTTATGTTCCTAAAGTAACAGAATGACTTTCAATCTAGAAAAAAACAAAAGAAATGCCAATGTAGCATTTTTTCAATTTTTCCGAAAATTTCTGTTTCCCCCTGAAAAAAACGGGGAAAAAAACAGGTTTTTTTCCGAGCTTCAAAATTTCCGGAAATTTTACATCTCTACTTATGGAGACACCCCGTAGGCTTTTCAGACCTTTTCAGAGATGTTCAGAGGTGGTTTGCCATTGCTTGCCTCTGTGTAGTGACCCTGGACATTCTTAGTGGTCTCCCATCCAAATACTAACCAAGGCTGATGCTGCATAGCCTGGTTTGCACCATTAAAAATGCAATATAATGCATCTTGCGTCCGTGTAGCGACCCTGGACTTCCTTAGTGGTCTCCCATCCAAATACTAACCAAGGCTGATGCTGCATAGCCTGGTTTGCACCATTAAAAATGCAATATAATGCATGCCACAAACCGGTGTACTAAAAAATCCGGTGTACTAAAAAAAGGGCAATATACAGCAAACTATGCGATAAAGCAAGATTACAAGACGGAAGAACCAAAAAAAACCCCTATCTTACATACATAGACAAGGCAAGAAAACTGGATTATAAAATAAGAAAACAGTGCAACGGAGACAGGATAATTAAGACAAGACACCGTGCTGTGAAAACTGCCTAAAATGTTCAGGTAAGTCAGAAGTGTGACCAACAGCCTGATCATGTTTGTTTCTCAACAGCTCCCATCAACTCCCTGCAGCTTTTGAACTGGATGCTGGCCATCGCTTGCAAACGGGGTCACCTAGAGGTTGTCCGGCTCTTGGTCCGCATGTACAGCGCCGACCCGGACAGCTGCGCCGTGCGAAAGAACGAGTTTCCAGCCCTCATCAGGCTGCCTCTCTACGCAGCAATCCAAGCAGGTACACAGGGCTGCGCGTCATTCCCTTTAAAGGGGCCTCCTCTCTGTTTCAAAGCACCTGAGACTACAAAGCCCCTTTTCTTTCAAGGCAACTCTGTCTGGGATCGCACAAGAAAACATTTGTCTTTTAAGCGTGAGGCACATTCAGACAGCCAAATCCATAGTTTCTGAGCTGCACCCAGTCTTTGCATTGGCACCCAGATTGGAACTCCTAACCTTGCTCTATTTGCTGGGTGTCTGCGTAGAGTTGAGGTGGGGCATCTAACCTGGCACAGTAGCACTGGTGTGCTCCTCATACCCATGTGAGAGGCACGGCTAAGGAATGTTTTCACTGCAACAGACTAATACATGATCTGCTGTTCAGGAATACTCAGTGGCTTCTGTGTCCTAAGGATCACTTTATCCATTGCACACATTTGAGACAGCAAAGTGTGATAGTAAGATTTTGGATTGCACCACTTTGGATGGCGTGAGACAGCAAAGTGTGATAGTAGGATTTTGGATTGCACCACTTTGGATGGCGTTGTGCATGTCAGAGTTTTGAATGTCAAAACCTCCCTGCATGCAGTAAGCTAGCACAGCAGGGAGAAAGTGACACATTCCTCCCTCTGATACTAGTTCATTAAATTTGGGGAGGGTTTTTTTTTTTTACATGGGTAAGCATTCTAAAAATTATAATTTGCAGTCTGAAATGGTCATTTGTGGAGTGCTAGCATCCACAGTTTGGTGCAGTGGTTAGGAGCACGGACTCTAATCTGGTTCTTGCAGAGCTGTTCTCTCATGAGCAGTTCTCGAAAGAGCTCTCTCAGCCTCACCTACCTCTCACGGTGTCTGTTGTGAGGAGGGGAAGGGAAAGGAGATTGTAAGCTGCTCTGAGACTTTGAGTGAAGGGTGGGGTATAAATTCAATCTCTTCTTCTCCTTCTGCATAATATGCATAATATGTAAAACTGGCTCTCAGATTTGGTCATAAATTGAAGCTTTGAAGCTATTTTTAAAAATATTTTATTTATAGAGTTATATTATGTTGTACAGCCAAATGCATACAAATTGGTTTATACATTCGGAGTCTTTTACTTAAGGTGATTTTCCCACCACGTATACTCTTAACCATCTTTTTTGGAATAAAGTTTCATCTTTTCCATGAATTAACATAGTTCATTTGTCCATTTCTGCAGTATACAGCCATTTCCAAGCTATTTCCTGTCTAGAGGGTTGTCTGTCCGTTTTCCAATAACGGATTATCAGTATTCTTGAGGAAGTTAAGATATATGTTAACAAGTATCTATCTTCTGGCTCATAACAATTCAGTATTTCTAGTATTATCTTTTTAACAGATCTCCAAACTTTTTGCATTTTACCACATTTCCACCATATATGGAAAAAGGTTCCAATGTTAGTCTTACATTTCCAACAGTTTTTAGACATCGTGGCTGTACATTTAACAATTCTGTCCGGTGATCAGTACCACCTATGAAACATTTTGTATACATTTTCTTTAAATGATGAAGCTTCGAAGGTATTGAAGCTTTGCCCTCTCCTGGCAGGCCAGATGGGACCTCTAAGGGGCCTATTGAGAAGCTCCGTTTCCTTGGGCCAGTATGATATCATGGCTGGAGTGTCAGATCTGGGTTCAAATCCACACTCTGCCATGAAGGCTCACTGGGGTGCCTTGGATCAGTCACGCGCTCTCACCGCCTAACCTGCCTCCCAGGGTTGTCACTGTGAGGCTAAAACGAAGGAGGGGAGAATATTGTTATAAGTCACTTTGCGATTCCATGAGGGAGAAATGTGGGAGATCAAAACAGCCAAGCTATGGGAAACAAGCTTATTTCTTTGCTTCATTTTATTTATTTAAGTATTTATCTATCAAAATTTATACTCTGCCATTCTACCCTCATAAGGGCTGCCGAGGCAGCGAACAAATTAAAACATACATAATAAAATTGCATTTAAAAACCATTAAAACCGGCAAAAAATATTAAAACCAAAGCTAAAATATATTTGCTGTTGTTCAGTCGCACAGTCGAGTCCGACTCTTCGCAACCCCATGGACCAGATCACGCCAGGCCTTCCTGTCTTCCGCTGTCCTCTGAAGTTTGCTCAATTTCAGTTCGTTGCATCTATGACACTGTCTAACCATCTCATCCTTTGCCGTCCCTGTCTTCTTTGACCTTCAATCTTTCCAAGCATCAGGGTCTTCTCCAGTGAGTGCTCCCTTCTCATTTGGTGGCCAAAGTATTTGAGCTTCAGTTTCATTATCTGGCCTTCCAGGGAACAGTCAGGGTTTATTTCTTTTAGGATTGATTGATTTAATCTTCTTGCAGTCCAAGGGACTCTCAAGAGTCTCCTCCAGCACCATAGTTCAAAAGAATCTATTTTTCGGCCTTCCTTATAGTCCAACTCTCGCAGCCATACATGACTACTGGGAATACCATTGCTTTGACCATGCGGACTTTTGTTGGCAGGGTGATGTCTCTAGTTTTTATCATGCTGTTTAGGTTCGCCATCGCTTTCCTCCCAAGGAGCAGGCGTCTTTTAATTTCATGGCTGCTGTCAGTCTGTGGTGATCTGGGATCCCAGGAACGTGAAGTCTAAAATATATACAAAAGCATAAAAAAATTTGTTCACAAGCTTTTTGCTTAAAAAGACAGTGAAACATTTCCATAGAATTAAGGGTGGGACTGCGCTTTGGGGCCTTAATATACACCAGGCCTACACACACATGGCTTGTCTTTCTTGTGAACGTGTTCTCTGCTTCCTTTGGCAGGGCATGAGGACGTAGCTGCCTTTTTGCTCCAGAACGGAGCCTTTTTTTGTTCCTACATCCTGATGGACTGCCCTGGTGAGAGCAAGAAACTTCTACGCAAATACTTCATTGAAACAGCAGCGTCGACCAGGAGTGCTCCAGCAGTACCAGTAAGGAGCTGTGGGCATGTTGGGAAAGCAGGCATTTGGGGAAGCCAGGGTGGTGCAATGGTTAAAATGTTGGACTAGGATCCAGGTGACCCAGGTTCAGCTCCCCACTCTGCCATAAAAGCTCGCTGGGTGACCTTGGGCCAGTCACGCGCTCTCAGCTTGACCTACCTCACAGGGTTGTTGTGAGGATAAAATGGAGGACGGGAGAATGATGGAAGCTGCTTTGGGTTTCCGTTGGAGAAAAAGGTGGGTTTAAATGAAATAAACAAATGTGGTGCCTTCCGATATCGAAACACCCTGAATGGCAAAAAAAAAAAAAAAAAAGGAAAGAAGAATCCAAAGCCCTTTGTTAATATTGTGAAATCAGTTGCCCGTGCATGTCTCTGCCTGCAGCCCAAAGTCTTAGAAGTCTGACTTTTGTGAGTGGCAGGAAAAAATGGGCACTTTTTCATCTGATTTGAATGGATGAATCCTGTTTAAAAGCCTCTTCCTTTCTTTCCTCTCCAGGCTCTGCATGTGAACTGGTCGAACCTCCGTCTCCCTTGGGTGGAACTGGATTGGCTGATGGATATTTCCCCCCAAATAACTGAGCTCGACCTCTCGGCCAACTGCTTGACCGCCCTCCCATCTGTGATCCCATGGGGGCTGATAAATATCCAGAAGCTAAACCTTGCCGATAACCGACTGCATGAGATCGCCGACGTACAGTCTTCAGATGGCATCCTCTGTTCAAAGTATGCGCCCGTGTCCTTAGAACTGCCACCTGCTACTGATTTTCTTTTTGGTATTTTTTGTGTTTTGTGTGTGTGTGTTCCTGTGCCTGGAAGTCATGGCGATCTCTGGTGACTCCTACTGGGGCACGGAGGTCGTTTAGGGAAGTGGCTAGATAGCCTCCCTCTGGCCTCCCGGCCCTGGTATTCCCAGGAGGTCTCCCACCCAAATACTTGCCAGGGTCGGCCCTGCTTTGCTTCTGAGATCGGACGAAATCGGGCTTGCCTGGGCTAGCCAGGTCAGGGCGCTTGCGACTGATTTTTGACAATGTTTTGCATGGAAACAAGCTGAGAACAACCTCAGTTACTCATTGTAAGGGAGGGGGAAGCTTCCCTACCCGACTTCTCCCCAGTTTGAACCTCAAGACAAGCTTTGCACGTTTGGTGTGTGTGTTATGTCCCTCGGGCCTTTCCTCGTGTCTTGCAATAAGTGGTTGAAGTGTAGAGTCTTCTCAATCGGAACCTTAGAGGATGAGAACAGGACCTTGCCTGGGTGGCTTGGAGACTGACCACTCTATGTGTTTTATGGGGTTGCTCCCATGTCCTGTTGACCAGATGTGCACGGTGGCTTTTAAGACCATAAGGAGAGCCCTGCTTGATCATACCAGTGGTATATCTAGTCCAGCATCCTGTCTCACACAGTGACCAACCAATTCCACTGGAAGGCCAACATCAGGGCGTAGAGGCCATAGAGTTCTGTACTGAAACATCATTTCTGGATGCCTGGGACCAGTGTTCCTTCTAAGCTGAGTTAGTGTGAGCTAGCTCACAGTTTTTTAGCCTCCAGCTCACACATTTTTGTCCTAGCTCAGGAAGGATGGGCTCCAGAGCAAACTAATTTATACAGTAGCCAAACTGCTTGCTCACAACTTTAATGCCAGTAGCTCACAAAGTAGAATTTTTGCTCACAAGACTCCACAGCTTAGAGGGAGCATTGCCTGGGACCCTGATTCGGAACAATGATGGGCTTAATCCTGTTTCTCCCCCCCCAAAGCCATTTTCCCAACCTGAAATGCCCCTGGTGGTGGAAAGTCAAAAGTACTATCAAGTCAAAGCCAATTTATGGTGATCTTATAGGGTTTTCAAAGGCAAGAGATGAAGAGAGGTGGCCTCATTGCCTGCTTCTTCAGAGCAAACCTGGACTTCCTTGGTGGTCTCCCATCCAAGTACTAACCGGGGCCGACCCTGCTTAGCTTCTGAGATATGATGAGATCCAGGTCAGGGCCCTACGGAGCTGGCATTTGCCCCTTTGGCGAAGCTTATGCAGACTTCCCCAATAGGAGTAAACAGCAACTCCATGAGGCCATTTCATTTCTGGAAAATGGCATGCTATAATTCCAATTCAAATTGGGGCTTCTGCATACCTGGGTATTACATTTCAACACTGACTTCCCAGTCTGGTCCACAGGATTCTAAGAGGACCCATAAATAACATTGTGTAGTTAGTGTGGGCGGGGCCTCATGGCCCGGGGTGCTCTTTCCAGTTCTTTATTTTTCCCCTGTAGATCTTTTATTTCGCTTTTTTAACTTTTTAATCCACAGGTTACTTGAGATATTTCATGTCTGGAAAATGGCATGCTATGATCCCAATTCAAATTGGGGCTTCTGCATACCTGGGTATTACATTTCAACACTGACTTCCCAGTCTGGTCCACAGGATTCTAAGAGGACCCATAAATAACATTGTGTAGTTGTATGGGCGGGGCCTCATGGCCCAGGGTGCTCTTTCCAGTTCTTTATTTTCCCCCTGTAGATCTTTTATTTCGCTTTTTAAACTTTTTAATCCACAGGTTACTTGAGATCGACGTGTCCGCCAACAGGTTCCAGAGCCTTCCTTCGGGATTCTTGCACCTTTCCCGACTCCAAAGGGTCGTTGCTACCAAAAATTACCTGGAAAGGTTATTTGAAGAGGAGAACGGTGGGTGTGCCCTGCAACTTCTGATTGACTTAAGCCATCCTGCTAGGGGTGGGCTGTTTTTCTTCTCTTACGAATTTGGGATAAAACTGTCAAGACGGTGTGTCAGGTTACGTGGAACCAGGGGACTGGTGCTGAAAAGAGCAGTCCCTTATCCAGTGTAAGTCACCCTCTGTGCAGTCCTAAACAGAGGTGACCTTTCTAAACGCTACAGACTTCAATGGACATAAGAAGAGCCCTGTTGGATCGGATCAGGTCCATCTAATCCAGCATCCTGTCTCACATGGTGGCCAACCAGTTCTTCTGCTAGAAGAACTGCTAGACCAGTCCTCCATGGATTTCTCCAATCCCGTTTTTAAGCTGTCTATGCCTGTGGCCATCACTAAATCGTCTGGTGGCGAGTGCCACATTTATTTATTTATTTATTTTGGGATTTATATCCCGCCCTACCCAGTGGCTCAGGGGGGCTAACAAACGGCAATGCCAGGTTTAAAATTTTAAAACAATAAAACAATGTTAACATACATGATAAAATTCGGTGCTCCAATAATCTACATAGAAATGACCAAGATGCACAAGATCCCACATAGGCGGCCAGTTTTCTTAATAGCATGAGTGCCAGGAGTGATATTTCCCCAGTTCAGTCGGGCGACATCTACCCCCCTCAATAATGAGGTAGATGGATGATGAAATCTCAGTGGTGGAATAGTGGCGGCGGCGGCTCCTACTCAAAGGTCTGGCAGAAGAGCTCCGTCTTACAGGCCCTACGGAACTGTACAAGGTCACGCAGAGCCCGGATCTCCTCCGGGAGCTCATTCCACCAGGTAGGAGCCGCCACCGAAAACGCCCTAGCTTTGGTGTGGGCAAACTTCACGACTCGGGGGCCTGGAACTTCCAGGCGGTGGAAATTCCCCGATCGCAGTGCTCTTGAGGGAACATATGGGAAGAGGTGGTCCCTTAGGTAGGCCATTCAGGGCTTTAAAGGTGAGCACCAGCACTTTGAAGCGAATCCGGTATGCTATTGGCAGCCAGCGCAGCGCTTGCAGCACAGGCCGGATGTGGTCTCGCCTGGAGAGGCCCATCAACAGCCTAGCTGCAGCATTCTGCACTGGATGCAGCTTCCGGATTTGCGACAGAGGCAGCCCCAAGTAGAGAGCGTTACAGTAGTCCAGCCTCGAGGTGACCGTCGCATGGATCACAGTGGCCAGGTCTTCGTGGTTGAGATAGGGAACCAACTGCCGGGCCAGCCGCAGATGGTAAAAGGCTGACTTGGCAGTGGCTGCCACCTGGGCCTCCATCGTTAACGAGGAGTCCAGGAGCACACCCAAACTCCTAACCTCCCACATGGGCACCAGTGGTACCCCGCCGAAGGTCGGGAGAGGGTGCCCCAACTCTCGGCCGGTCCGATTTTAATCACTCTCTCTGTAAAGAAATCTGTCGTGAATCTACTGCCTATCATGGGTGCCTTCAAGTTCAAGTGTTTTGTGAGAAGGAGGAAAAGTTCTCTCTGTCCCCTGTATCTACCCTGGGCATAGTTTTAGAAACCTCTATCATTCCCCCCCCCCCTTTTGTCTGTTTTCTAAACTGAAAAGGATGTAGAAGGATGTATCTTTGTCTATTTGATCCGGAGTTTCTCCGTATTCCCGCAAGGGGAGTTGTGTCACAGCACAGATGCCAGCGTTAAGATGAGAAGAGAGCCTTGCACATCTTAATTATTTACTTTATCTATATAAAACATTTATTAGCCACCTTTCTACTGTGAAGAAAAATCCAGGTGGGCAGCCGTTTTGGTCTGAAGCAGCAGAACAAATTTTGAGTCCAGTAAGGCACCTCTAAGACCAACAAAGTTTTATTCTTTGGACATGAAAGCTTTGAATAAAACTTTGTTGGTCATAAAGGTGCCATTTTCTACCTTGAGGAACTCAAGGCAGCTTAAAAAGGTAAAGGTTAAAGTTCCCTTGCTCGAAAGCCAGTCGAATCCGACTCTAGGGTTGCGGTGCTCATCTCCGTTTCAAAGCCGAAGAGCCAGCGCTGTCCGAAGACGTTTCCGTGGTCATGTGGCCGGCATGACTAAACACCGAGGCGCACGGAACGCTGTTACCTTCCCACCGAAGTGGTCCCTATTGATCTACTTGCAATTTCTTGCTTTCAAACTGCTAGGTTGGCAGGAGCTGGAACTAGAGACGGGAGCTCACTCCGTCTTGCGGCACCCGGGTCTCGAACTGCTGAACTACCAACCTTAACCACTTGAGCCACCACAGCTCCTCAAGGCAGCTTACAGTGTAAATAAAACAACAACAATTTAAAAAATACATTAAAATGCCCCACAATCTTCTCTTTGTGGCTTCAGAACCTTATTTCCCTCAGTTTGTCTCTTAACTATTGTTCACTGTTGACTTTCCTAGGCTGAAGCCACCTCAGGCTGTCTTCACAGCTGGGCTCTGCTCCCCCAATCCTTCTCCTCACCCACCTTTCTTCCTGGCTGCCACATCTCTTTCAGATCCCCCAACGTTCTCTTTCCTATCCCTTCTTTTCCCAAACACACTCCAGTGTTCCATCTTTCCCTTTCCGGCCTCCCAGCCTGGCCTTCGGTAGACTGCGGTATAAATAAATAACATAGCCTGGATAATTTAGGCCAAAGCTGTCTTAAGTAGGCCAGTCAAATGATTTCAGGTGGGTAGCTCTGCTGGTCTGAAGTAGAACAGCAACATTCGAGTCCAGTGGCACCTTACAGATTTCTGTGGAATAAGCTCCACTTTGACTTGCAAAAGCTTATCCCCTGGAAATCTTGCCGGTCTCTCAGGTGCTACTGGACTTGCATCTTCCTCATTTGAGTTGTTTGAAGCCAGTTTTATTTATAGATGCATTCACAACCCTTGCAAGGCATTAACGTTTAAGTGGTGCGCCGCTCTGGAGCCCCTGTTCAAAAGCCAGCACACTCGCTCAACCGCATCGAGAGCTCCGACAATAGCTAAGGGAGACCTCACTGCCCAGGAGAGAGGACACCAGCTCCTCTCAAGGTAAAGGTAAAGGTTCCCTTGCTCGAAATCCAGTTGAGTCCGACTCTAGGGCTGCGGTGCTCATCTCTGTTTCAAAGCCGAAGAGCCAGCGCTGTCCGAAGCCGTTTCCGTGGTCATGTGGCCAGCATGACTAAACATCAAGGCGCACGGAACGCTGTTACCTTCCCACCGAAGTGGTCCCTATTTATCTACTTGCAATTTCTTGCTTTCGAACTGCTAGGTTGGCAGGAGCTGGAACTAGAGATGGGAGCTCACCCCATCATGCGGCACCCGGGTCTCGAACTGCTGAACTACTGACCTTCCACAGCCTGCAGTTCAGCGTCTTAACCACTTGAGCCACCGCAGCTCCTAATTGGCCCTAAATTAGAGCCTCTAACAAAAATTTGTTCTGTGTGTTTGGGTTTTGTTTTTGTTTTTTCTAGCAACTAACTGGATAGGGTTAAGGAAACTGAGTGAGCTGGATGTCTCGGACAACCGGTTGGTGGAGCTACCCACTCAGTTTCTCCACAATTTGAAATCTCTGAACATCCTGAATGTGTCCAAGAATAATCTGAAAGTGTTCCCTCCGCCCTGGGTTTGCCCCTTGGTAAGTACGGCTTTGTTAAGTTACTTGTTTTATTTATCGACTCAATTTAGCCCTGCTCTTCTCCCCAGGGGAGATCCAAAGTGGCTGACTTCAGTCTCCTCTCATCCGTTTTATCCTCACAACCACCCTGTAATGTAGGTTAGGCTGAGTGTGTGTGAGTGGCCCGAGGTCACCCGTCAGGCCTCCACGTCAGAGTGGGGATTCGAACCTGGATCTCCCAGATCCTAGTCCGACATGCTAATCACTACACTAGACTTGGCACAGTAGAAGATCCTGGATCTTAAGGGGTGGTGTTGGGCTTGTTCCAGCAACCTAAATTTACCTGGCCAACAGGGCAGAGTTGGTTTGTTTTTAGCCAGTTTGATTCTGGCTCAGCTCTTCAGTTCTAATTCCAGCTGTGATTCTAGTTGGAATCCCATCAACCAGGGGTCATTTCGTAGAAAAAGAGGTGCAGGAGCTCATTAGCATAATTCATTAGCATAACTTATTTGCATAACTTAGTTGCATAACTATGCACCACCCCCTGACATCACCGGAAGTGTGTCAGAAGGCAACACCCACCGCTCAGGTTCAACTGGACTGTTTTGGATTGCTGGCTATTGGGGGAGGGGGGAACGTGCAGGTCTGTCCTCGCAGAGGAGAGTTTGTACCTGAATAAAACTTGGTCTTAAAGGTGCCACTGGACTGTTTTGGATTGCTAGCTGTTTGGGGGGGGGGACGTGCAGATCTGTCCTCGCAGAGGAGGGAGAGCTTGTACCTGAACAAAACTTGGTCTTAAAGCTCACACGGGACTGTGCTGGATGGCCGGGCGCGCTGCAACTTACCTGGCTGCTTCTTGAACTGACTGAGGGCTGCTGGGAGCAGGGGGTTGGGACTTGTTGCATGTGCCCGCCCCCTGGGCTCTTTACTGCCGGAGCTCCGCTCCTGTGCGCTCCTGCAGGAAATGACCCCTGCCATCAACCCAGATCTGGTTAGAAAACCATTCTAAACACAATGGGTTGGCTCAGCCAGGTTTTTCACTCAGTCTCAGCGAATCACCTTCCTTACTTCGGACCCCCATCCCATGTGGCTTTTGTTCATGCCAGTCCCACAATCCCCAGCATACACTTTTTGGTGCTCAAAGGGAACACCCTCCTCCCTTTCTCATCAGTGGAAAAAAGCTGGTTGAAGTAACCCACTGACTTTGAAACAGGAACTGATATACAGTTGCCAGAGAATGTGGTTAGTGGTTAGCAGTGCTTTTTGGTAGAAAAAAGGAAAAAAGTGTCGGTATCAGGGCTCTTTTTGTAGCAGGTACTCATTTGCATATTAAGCGACACACCCCTAATGTAGCCAATCCTCCAAGAGCTCCTGTAAGCTCTTGGAGGATTGGCTACATTAGGGGGTGCAAAGGAGTTCCTGCTACAAAAAGAGCCCTGCCGGTACTCATATATAAAGTTGCATCAATGTCCACCTATTCCAACCCTCAGGACTTGGGATAGCCTTACCAAAAGGTGCCGGTGCTCAGTACTGGTGAGTACCACCATGAAAAAAAAAAACTGGCAGTTAGAGTGTTGAACTAGGATCTGAAAGACCCAGATTCGAATCTCCACTCTGTCAGTGAAGCTTGCTGGGTGGCCATGGGTCAGTCACCCACTCTCAGCCTAACAGGGTGGGTGGTTGTGTGGATACAGTGCTAGAATGAGGCGGGGTACAAATGAAGTCATAGGGTCTCCATAAATCAGAAGTGACTTGACGGCGCTTGACACACAAGTAAATGAAGTACATGAATAAGAATCATGTAGTGCACCTTTCCCAGGTTTGTGGGAATGCTCCTTTGTGGAGGTGGGAACCCTCTGTGCAGAAAACTAGCCTGTCAAGGCGAAGGTAACTTTATGACCTACTATGTTCCAAGTTTAAAAAAAATGAAGCTTATTTCCAGGGTAACCCAAATTCTCTGCAAAGGTAAAAGCTGAATTTTGTAAAGAAGAAGAGAAGAGATTGGATTTATACCCCTCCCTTCACTACCCAAAGGAGTCTCAGAAAGGCTTACAAATTCCTTTCCCTTCCCCTCCCCACAACAGACACCCTGTGAGGTCGGCGGGGCTGAGAGAGCTCTGACAGAAACTGCTCTTTTTCAAGAACAGCTGTGCTAGAACTGCTTGAGAGAACAGCTCTGAGAGAACTGTAACTGACCCAAGGTCACCCAGCAGCTGTATGTGGAGGAGTGGGGAATCAAACCCGGTTTTCCCAGATTAGAGTCCGTGCACTTAACCACTACACCAAACTGGCCACACATAAACTAATGTATATTTATGTTGTCTGGGGAAAAGAATAAATAGCTGTGCACAGTGCCTGTATGCTTTTTTGGCATTCTTGAGGGCTAGAATCTTTAAAAACAAAACCTGAATGTTGTGTTTTTGAGCATGGAGAATTCTAGCTGAATATGAACAATTTATTTTCCTTGTGTTTCTAGAAATGTTGCAAAGCAGCTAAAAATGCCTTGGAGTCCCTACCAGATACCTTGGCTGTTTTCTGGAAAAATCATCTGAAGGAAGTCGATTTTTCTGAAAATGCCCTGAGCGAAGTCCCCCAGTGCCTCTTCCAGCTTGAAGTAAGTGTGTGGAAATCTCTACCTGTATCTGAAAAAGTAGATTCAGGTAAGCCTCCCAACCCCCCAGAAGGCAATGATTTCTTGCTGTCATCATTGGGTAGTAAAGAGGTTCAGTCGAGTTTAGTTCTCTGAAGGGGTCTGGTACATAAAGGATTCCGTGGACAACATTTGCAAAACTTCAGCTTGCTAAAATGAAGGTACCTGCAGAGCCTATTTCGTGCCATTCAGACAATGTTGTGACACTGGGTTCCCATCAAGTGCAGAATTTCACCCACGGTGCCATGTACTCACAACTGGTGCTGTGCTGTAGATCTGGATTCTTGACAGGCTGTAACCAGAACGCAAATAGATACAGCATCTCTGGCACTCAGGTAAACATGGGGGCTGCTACGTCTTCCTGTTTTCATCACCATTTAATCCCACCTGTCTGCCAAAGAGTTTGGGGCAGGATACATGATTCTTCCCTCCTTGTTTTGTTCCCACCAAAACGACCCAGTGGGGTGGCTTAGACTGACCAGGTTGTGACCAGGTGGTCATTTGAACACCCCAGTCCTCACCTTATTAATGATGATGATGATGATGATGATGATGATGATGATGATGATATCTTTCGATTTATTAATCGCTCAATCCTGCAGAGCTGCTGGCTCTGAGCGATTTACAGTTACACATATTAACAAGGGACTAACAATGATTTGTAGGGGGTAAGGGAGGACAACATATAAATCTTTTTTAAAGTCGCACACGTTTGCAGCCGACGTGGGTTTTGTTCAGCTGTAGACTTAGACGTGTTCCAGACGGCATTCACTCGGCTTGGCTTGATGACGTCAGTTTTTCCAGGACTGCTTCGAGTTGCAGCGTCGCACTGCCACCGCCTGGCCAGATTGGCCCATCGCAGGCTTCTTAATGCCAAAGAGATCTTTCCAGGCTTCCAAGCTTACGAGCTGGACATTCCGTTTCGCCGGCTAACCCCTCCCCCACCGAGGGGGGGGGTTAGTGTGCCCACCCTCTCTAAGGAGTGGTACCCATTTTATCTACACGCCGAAGCTTTCGAACCGCTGGGTGGACGGCGAGCTGGGGACACGGCTGGTAGCTCACACCAGCGAGGGCTAGAACTGACAGCAGTTCTGTTCAGTTCAGATGTTACCTTGCACTCGACTTGTAGCAGCATGCTAAATCAGAAGACAGAAGGGAGAAGGCTGCCGCTCTGTCCTCCTCTCAGGTAGAGCCCAAGTGTTGAGAGAAGAGAAGAATAAGAAGAGATTTGATTTATACCCTGCCCTTCACTACCTGGAGGTGTCTCAGAGCGGTTTACAATCTCCTTTCCCTTCCCCTCCCCACAACAGACACCCTGTGAGGTCGGTGGGGCTGAGAGAGCTCTTGAGAGAACTGCTCTTGAGAGAACATCTCTTATCAGAACTATGGCTTGCCCAAGGTCATCCAGCCAGGTGCAAGTGGAGGAGTGGGGAATCAAACCCGGCTCTCCCAGATTAGAGTCCGCGCACTTAACCACGACACCAAACTGGCTCTCTGCCCTGTCAGGTGATGGTGGAGGGACAGCTGTCTCAGAGTCTGGCCAATCGCGCTCTCTCCCAGAACCCACCGGTGCAGCAGACTAACCTCTTTCCTGTTTCCTGTGATGTGATTCACAGCAGCCGTTGGGAGAAGCTTTTTGAAAACTTGAGTTGATGCGAAGAGGAGGAGGCCAGCTGCATCCTCCTCGTGACTTGCCATGCCTAGGGTCACATGAAAGCCTGGCTTCAGGCCTCGAAGTTTGGGCTGCGCCTCCACTTTATATCTCAATACCCTAGTCTTGTGCGTATTACGTTGTCTGACTCTCTTTCAGGCAATTGGTCACCTTTAATTTTGCGGGAAATCAAGTCAATTGGCATGTCACTTGACTGACTTGTTTTCATGCTGGAGAAACAACAAGCTTGTAGAGTGCTGCACCAGAGGCTCTTGGATACTGAGAGACAAACTTTATACTCATTAGCTAAGAGGGCCTGTTCCCCACTTTCAGGGCTTTTTTTGTAGAAAAAGCCCAGCAGGAACTCAGCATAATAGGCCACACCCAACAGCAGAAACTCATTAGCATAATAGGCCACACCCAACAGCAGAAACTCATTAACATATTAGGCCACACCCCTGACAGTACAGCTCATTAGCATATTAGGCCACGCCCCATGTGTTAGCAGAAGTGTGGTCATCCAGCCACACCCACCTTTTGCTTCTTATTCTGTTTACCTTGTTTGTTGTCAAAACCCAGGGCTTTTTGCATGTTAGGCCACACACCCCTAATGTAGCCAATCCTAATGAGTTCCTGCTGTTGGGTGTGGTCTATTATGCTAATGAGGTTCCTGCTGGGCGTGGCCAACTTGGGAGCCAGCTGGAACTCCGTTCCTGTGCGTTCCTGCCCCAAAATAGCCCTGCTCACTTGTATATGATATAGTGCCTGGTTATGGGGTTCTAGCTACTTATTCCTTGCACCCCAGGTCCCTGCAAAATCCACAGTGCTTTTATGCTCACAGGTTCAATGTTCTGCCTCCAACAGTCCTGTCTGGCATAAAAGAGCCAGTTTGGCGTAGTGGTTAAGTGCACGGACTCTAATCTGGGAGAACCGGGTTTGATTCCCCACTCCTCCACTTGCACCTGGCTGGATGATCTTGGGCAAGCCGTAGTTCAGATAAGAGCTCTCCTTGAAAAAGAGCAGCTTCTGTCAGAGCTCTCTCAGCCCCACCCACCTCACAGGGTGTCTGTTGTGGGGAGGGGAAGGGAAAGGGGTTTGTGAGCCGCTCTGAGAGTCCTTTGGGTAGTGAAGGGCGGGATATAAATCCAATCTCTTCTTCTCTTCTTCTCTTCCTCATCAGGAAAGACTTTGTCCATGTAGATCTAGAGCTCCTGAATGTTTATCTCGTATTTTGCTTTATTGTGATTCTTAGACTAAGTTGAGGAACTCTTTAATTAGCCCTCTTTTACACAAGTTTAACGGCCATTCTGATAAGCAGCTAGGTTCATATGCATTTGATGTAGTGAAAGAGGGTGAAGAATTGTACCCCCAATATCTCTTGATTGCAGCTGTCCTATGTACCAGTTAATGCATTTATTTCCTGTAAACTGCATACATGCTCCATGTGACCCAGGAGGAGACTGAGATGACCATGCCGGAGTTGCAGTTGACCATGTAAACTGGCCACCCAGTTCCTCCGGGTTACATAGTATAGAATTCAAGTTAACCAGCACTAAATCCACACTGATTAGTAAAATTGCTTTGATTCCCTGAAATATGGGAAGAGGCCAGCCGTCTGAACACTAGATGGTTCTCCTGTGGCATCTATTTCCCCGCTCTCTGACTTTCGACTAGCCCAGTCTTGCTCAGCGTAATGAAATCCGACTTTTAGAAACCGGAGCCCTTAGCAAGCTTGCCGCTTCTCTCCAGCAAAGCCTTGCAAGAAAGGCTTGTCCTTCTTTGACTGAAAATCTACAAATGTGTAGTTTATTCAAAGCTGCCTTGAATGCATATGTTGTGAAACATCTAATTGAAGTGTAATGTAAAGCTTCGTCCTGGGCTAGGATCTAAATCCATCCAATCGTGTTACTAGCCCAGGAAGCACCTAACCAATCACCTTCTAGCAAGCTCCCTGAGCGGGAACATCCGTGATTGGTCCTTATGTGAACAACCTTATTGGTTGGTATTTGTACAGTGGGTGTGGCTACATTAGCCGGGAGAGTTTAAAAGCAGGACAGCTGCAATGTAAAGGCTGTTCTGGCTATCAGATGTTGATCCGTGTTGGAGTTGTGTTCGAGTTGAAGAATAAAGCTGTGTTCTTGCTGAATCACTCTCCGACTGCTTTGTTAAGCGAGCGACTTAACAAGATGTTATGGATTTTTGTATTTTTGCAGTAGACTACAAAACCAGTGACACAGACTGACTGTGATGGGATGGGAGAAAATATGTAATATTACATATAGATGATGTTATAGTATGTAATATCGGAGAGATGGCAATGAAGACGTTAGCAAACAGTCTTCATTTTGACTGGGGGCAAATGGAATCCAACAAGCTGGGTAGAACTTCCCCAGAAATTCATATTTCAATTCCAGAAGAACCCAATGTTGACTTGAATGTAATCTCCTTGGGGCAAGGGCCTTGACACTGCAAAGAAGAGTTGCTTAATGCTCATTGATATCATTGTATGAATCATGAATCCGTTGTGGAAAAGGTTCTCAGGGAGATAGTTGGAGATCTAGATTTTTAAAAATTATTATTTGCTGCTCTTTTAATTCTTCCTTTTTTTGACTTATTCCGTTTGATTTCTGCTGGGTCAGCTGTTGTAAGATGCTTTGGAAAGCAGTTCTGATTGGAAAAGTGGGATATAACTGTAAGAAAAGTAGGTAAACTGTATTGTGTGAGTCTAAAATGGCTCCATTGAAATGTACTGGAACAGACAACTCCCCCCCCAAAAAAAACAAAAACAAAACACCATTGGCTCTTCAACCATGTCCCTTTCCCTTTTAGGCTTTGGTATCATTGAAACTTTCAGGAAATCAGTTAACCGTCTTACCTTCCCAAGAAAAGTGGTCCTGCAGGCAACTGAAGACTTTGGATCTCTCGAAGAACCAGCTTGGGAAGTGAGTTTGTTTATTTCACTTATGGAATTTCCATGCCGCCTCTCCAGAGTCTAGCTTGAAGCAGCTTAAAAAATAAAGAACAAAATTGTAAAAAAGCATAATAAATTATCCATATACAAGAAGATATTAACAACAAGCCAAGACTGTAAAAACAACATAAAACAATCACTAAGCAGCCCCCCCAGGGGTCATTTCGTTGAAAATGAGGTGCAGGTGCTCATTAGCATAACTCAGCTTGAAGCAGCTTAAAAAATAAAGAACAACTTAAAATGGTAAAAAAGCATAATCAATTATCCATATACAAGAAGATATTCACAACAAGCCAAGTCTATAAAAACAGCATAAAACAATCACTAAGCAGCCCCCTAGGGGTCATTTCGTAGAAAAAGAGGTGCAGGAGCTCATTAGCATAACTGATTTGGATATGCCACACCCCCTGACATCACCGGAAGAGTGTCAGAAGGCAACACCCACCGCTCAGGCTCCACTGGACTGTTTTGGATTGCTAGCTATTTTTTTGGGGGGGGGGGGCAGATCTGTTTTTCACGACAAGGG